CAATATACACCGGATTATCCAGGATTAGAAATAATCCCATTGGGGTCAATAAAGCCACTTTCAGGCTGGGGGAGCAGACGCCTGGGCTCCCTGGGAGAGAAGGGGGCTGGGGTGCACAAGGACAGCCAATGAGGGCTGGGGACCCCCTCCCTCAGCAGACATGTCCCAGTCCCCCCAATTAACCAGCTGAGGCCCAAATCTCCAGTCTCTTAGCTTTAATTAGAACAGGAATAAACAAGACCTGGCCCCAGAAACCCCCCAACTGGGTGGGGTGCACAGGTAGTGCTAGGGGGGGCAATTGCTGCAATAGAAAAAAAAGCCCAAATGACTAGGGGGCCAGGAGCAGGGCCTGGCTGCAGCTGGGGGCAGAGCTTGGCTGGAGCACAAGGAAGAGGGCAGGTGCCAGGGCCACGCAGAAGCAAAGGCTGAGCCACAGCTTGATGAGCAGAGCCATAGTCAACTGAGAGTGGAGCCTGCTTAAGCCCCGCCCCTACAACAGAGCTTGTCCTGAGGGGGGTGGAACCTGTACCACACTACCTGTACCCCAGGCCCTGCCCACAAAGGACAGCCCACCCAGGGGGCAGAGCCACAGCCATATATGGGTGGAGGCCCACTCCACCACCCACCTACAGCCTGTCCAGGGGGTGGAGCTAGGGCCCTGTTAAAGGGCAGAGCCCCACCCCCAAATGCCACCTATCTATTTAGGTGGGGGTGAGTCCCTCCCAAACCCCACCCCCATTTACAATTCGGGGAGCAGGCCCTGGAAAGGGGCAGAGCCACTCGGAGCCCACCCATCTAGGGGGCTGGTCTACTGAACCCCCCTGCCCAACCATTCAAGGGACAGAGCTGCACCCCGGTCAGGGCGAGCCCTAGCCCTACTCAGCTCCCACCCCTGCCTTCACATGCAATCCAGGGGGCAGCTTCAGGCAAGGCGGGGCACGGAGCTGCAGCCCCCAACCACCAGCCCCCTAAGTAGGCAGAGCCCTGCACAAACCGCCACCCACCAGGGGTAGGGCCCCACTCAGACGCCATCCCCCACATGCAGCCCGTCCAGGGGGGTGGTCACAGCTTCGGTAGCGGCAGGAGGTGCCGGGTAGATCTCGATGGTCTCCATGATGGCCAGTGCTGGTGCGTAGTTGGCAGCTGGGGGTACAACTGGCTCCTCCTCAGGGATGGCGGTGGCAGAAGGTGGGTCTGGTGCGGCAGCGCGACGCTGGGCCTGGTGGAGCTTGCGGTGCTTCCAGAGGTTGGAGAAGGAGCGGTAGGCCTTGGGGCAATGGGGGCAAGCATAGGGGCGCTCCCCGGTGTGCGTGCGCCGGTGCTCAGCCAGGCGCACAGCGATGGCGAAGGCCTTGCCACACTGCTCACACTTGTACGGCCGCTCACCCGTGTGCAAGCGCCGGTGGTCCTTGAGGTGGGTGGACTGGCGGAAGGCCTTGCCGCAGTCCGGGCAGGGATAGGGCCGCTCTCCGGTGTGGATGCGGCGATGCACCTGCAGCGAGGTCTCCGTGCTGAACAGCTTTTTGCACTCGCTGCACTCAAAGCTCTTGGGCCCAGCAGGGCGGCGTGGTGCTGGCGGTGGAGGTAGCGGTGCTGACACAGGCTGTGCAGCCCCAGCACCTGCCTCATGCACCCGTTCATGTGCCCGCAGCCTAGCTGCCGTGCTCACCTTCTTGCCGCATGTGGCACACTCGTGGCGCCGCCCAGCCTTGCCACACCGATGCTCGCGCAGCTGCGGGGCTGTGGCGAAGGCAGCCCCGCAGGCCCCACACACATGGGGCTGGCGCCCGGCGTGGCCCAAGCGGTGCACGTCCAACAGGCGGCGAAGAAGGAAAGAGCGCCCGCACTCACCACACTTGTAGGGGTACTCACCCGTGTGGTGGTAGCGGTGCATGAGCAGGCGGTAGGGGCGGTGAAAGTGCACGCCACACTCAGGGCACTGGTAGGGGTAGTGCCGGCTGTGCACAAAGAGATGCTGCTGCAGCGTGGAGGACTGTGTGAAGCGCTTCAGGCAGACCTGGCACTGGTAGGGCCGCTCCCCAGTGTGCGTCAGGCGGTGCCGCAGGAGGTTGGCCTGCGAGTTGAAGGCCTTGGGGCAGTCAGGGCAAGCGAAGGGGCGCTCCCCGGTGTGCGTCAGCAGATGGTTGCGCACATGCGACTTCTTCTTGAACCTCTTCCCACACGTGTGGCACTCATGGCGCCGCTCTAGCCCATGCACAAAGCGCTGGTGCCTGGCCAGCTGCAGCTGCTTGCCAAAGGCCTTGCCGCATGCCAGGCACCGGTGCCCGCCACCGCCCCCAGTGCTGCCATCCGAGTAGATGATGGTCAGCGGCATGGTGTCCGGCACCCGGGCCTCGGGAGCAGGCACCGGGGCTGGCTCAGCGGGTGCTGGAGCCTCGGGGGTGGGCGGCAGAGGGCCATGGGTGCGGCGGTGGTAGAGGAACTTGGTCATGTTGAGGAAGGCCTTCCCGCAGGGGCAGCGATGCAGTGGGTTGGGCCCATGGGCGCGGCGGTGTGCCAGTAGCGCGGGCTCTGTATCAAAGGCCAAGCCGCAGTCCAGGCAGAGCAGGCGTGACTCCCCACTGTGCTGTGCTGCGTGCTGCGCCAGTGCGGCCGGCGAGGGCAGGGCCCGACTGCACAGGGCGCAGGGGAAGGCGCCGCGGCGGTGGGCACGGCGATGCAGCTCCAGCGCACGGGCCGTGGGCAAGGCCAGCTCGCACTCCCCACACCGGTGCGGGGCACCGCCCTTCAGCTCATAGCTGTGGTCACCCGCAGGCTCCGCCGGCGCCGTGCCATTGACAGCAGGGGGTGCCGCAGGCACCAAGTGCCCGGCTTGGTGCTCCAGGAACTCCTTTGGCGTCTGGAAGAGTTGCAGGCAGTCGCCGCACTCGTACAGC